AAAAAGTACTCCAGAGTGTTGTTCAGCATGGGGGTGAGTAGAAAATGAAGGCTAATCATGTTTTGGGTGTACTATTCCTTTAAGCTGTTCCCCTACCTTTGTTGTCAAACTCTTTTGGGCAGTTAGAAGTCTTTAAACTAGCTTGTTGTATATTTTTCTGAGCTAGCTTTAGGTGGACTTCAAGCTAGAAGCTTGTGTTTGGGAGGTTTGGTGCTCCATTTGTATTTTCTTTTGGGTTGTTTTGAGTTAAACTTAGACTGACTGGTTTGGACATTTTGTGGTTTAATTTGCACTTAACCATTCTTGAATTTGTTTGCCCTTTTCTTTTGTTTTGGCTTAAGCTGTATTGTGTTTTGGGTCTGTTTAACCATCTTTTGTAAAAAAAAATAATTTTACAGTCCACTTATTTGCTTTGGACACATTCCTATGTTACCTCCCCAGAACCCCTAGACCTTGGGGGTGTAAAAAAGCTGTTTAAAAAAAAAAATAAAAAATCTGACAATACAACATTACAACTGAAAAACTTTCTTGGTCTCTCTGTCTTCAAATACCTCTTTAAAGTTTCTTAATAAGATAAAAGTTGGTGAATGAATGTGAGCCTGAGACAAAAATCAAGTTTTAAGTCAAAGAAATGTTGAGGTCTTTACCAGCCATTAGAATCGGTGCATCAACAAAATCATTTTTTAATTTGTTACAAAAATGCCGATTATCACAACTAAGAATCCTTTTGTCCCTGTGTTTTTTTTTTTTTTATAGGCCTCGGCATGGAGAATATTGGTGGGATCTTTGTAGTCTTGATTTGTGGCCTCATTGTAGCTGTGTTCGTGGCCATCATGGAGTTTGTTTGGTCAACCCGCCGCACAGCTGAGACAGGCAAGGTAAAACTAAATCCTCATCCTCCTCTTCCATTGTCCTTCTACTACCCCTTTCCTGAACTTTAAGCAATGTTTTTGTCTGCATACATGCCTTATGACTCTGCAAAGAAAAACCCATCTATACATTTGTGAACTTTGTCACATGGCTTGCTTGTAATAAAATGGTTATAAAATAATCAAATCAGTCTGATGTCTTATTTGTTTACTTTTTAACAACTTTTTTACAAATTGTGAGAAATCTTTAGGGATGTATTTAATTGTTATGCTCAACTAATCTGCAACAAACCCCCAAACATAGCAAGAGGGCTAAAATCCTGAGTTCAATCTAATTTTTTAAGAGATTCATTAAATTAATTAATCAAGACATTTAAATTTCCACAAGCTAGTTTTCTTTCCAATCCTATAAAATTTCCCACTATATGCTTTTATTTATTTTTTCTTCTATCTTTTTTTGTCATTTAAAGCCCTTCAAATTGTCATAAAACTGAAATGTGCTATACAAATAGCTTTGCCCTGCCTTGCCTGTGTTGGGCAAACTGGGGCATTTATTTAAATGAGAACATCACATCAAATGTGTGCTGCTTTAGAAATGAACAGAAACTTGAACTATGTTACACAGTAAACATGGAGCAAAGCTGCGGAGTGCTGATAAACTTCTGTTCTCTTAAACTTAGAAGAAGGCATGAACATGAATATCCTGATGAGTCAGGCCACATTATACATTCTTTTCCTAAAACAAGAAAATGGTGGTGTTTGTTTGCAAATGTACACACAGCTACCCAGGTGCCAGACTATTTACAGCCACTATTTTCACGCAGACACAAACTACTTCTAAGAAAATATTCTATAACCACCTACACCCTCAAACACAAAGACACAATGGTAAAAATGCTGCATGATACACTATTGTAGCAAGGTAGACATAGGTAAAGAAAATAACTGTTCCAGTTAAAGAATGAACAGGAGCAGAGGATATCCAAATCAGAAGCTTTTATCTCCAATATTGATTCCAGTCAGTTAAGAATTTGCTTCTGCCAATACAGATCCTCTGTGACATAATAAAGTAGCTCCAGTTTAAAACTGGGGTCAGGTTAGCAAAGTCAGTCAAGTAGTTACTGATGTTACTGAAATGATAGCATCCAGGGCTAAATGAATGGAATTGAACAATATAATAAATATGAATCAATTCATATGATTTTTAAATATACGCATACAACTAGCATATGGCACAGCTGTTATGGTTATCAGTTTTCTGAAATTGTAAAACGCTGTCTAAATTATTTTAACCCTTGGATTAGACCTTCTGTTGTTCTTTCAACTAAGGTAGAAATCACTTTATAAATGTCACCTTTTGTAAGAAGCCATTTACCGGATATACGGATTGTTTTTTTATTCATGGAAACCCAGTTAATTGCATCAAGTCACTGACTTTGAAGGGTTCCTCCTTCTGGATGAGCATGTGACAACAGTGGACAGTTTCTTGTGGACTCTTGCATGATCATTCAAAATGAGCAAGCATTCAGCAACAGAGGAGAGGAAAAATTCCCTTTTAACAACAGGTGAACCTCCAGCAGAATCCGGTTCAGTGTGAGCAGCATTCGGCCAAGGCCGACCAGGGGTTCAAAGAGACAAAGGCAGACACAGAAAAAGAAAATGGAGGGATTGATCCAATAATACTGTCTGTCAGAAAATGTTAAACTTGCTTCATAAGTGGGTCTGTCTAGAAAAGAAAGTGTAAAGCAGACAAGCTCTTAGCCAGTTTTCATTTCAAAGGCAGATACAGTTAGTCGCAGTGAAAGCTGATCGCATATGTCTAGGACAGAAACAGGACTAAGAAATTTTGATACCGGTACTACAATGTGGTTGAAATTGTTTACATAAACAGTGTGCCACTTTGCCCACTAGCACCCCTAGTGGCCACAAGCGCGGCAGCTCTGATGCAAAAGTCAACAGTCAGCCCGGCCAGCCTCCCGTGTCTTTTGATTTGGGACCACACTAGGCGTCACAGTTCAGCTTGGAGTGCGTGAGAAACATTGCTGCTCTCATGAGAGCACTGCCAGGGAAGGCCATTGCGGCACGCAGGACCAGCGGCGGAGCTCCAGTAATCCTCACTGGGTTTAACGGGGCGTCTTGGTTAGCTTTTGTCTGCAGCCTGCATGCTTTCTCTGCCCATATTTCGCTTGTACTAAATATCGAACATAATAACGATATATGTGTCACAGTCTTGGTTCAGTTATGTTTTCCTTAAGTATTCAGTTCTACTTTGCTCCATGTTTTCTAGTTTTATTGGTTTAATTCTTATTTTGTTGTGTTTTCTGGTTATTTTTCAGTTTTCCAGTTTTCATTTGTTGCCCTCAGTTGCCCTCTTGTGTTCTCCTTTTTCCCTGACTCCTTTCCTTTCTGTTCTGTTAACACCTGCTCCCAATCCGCTCGTTAGTCTTCTCTTTGTTCAGTCTCCCATAAATACACTCCTTATGCAGTTCCTCAGTGTGGGTTTCCTTGTCTAACTTCCTCCAACTCCGTCTCACTGTGTCTTCCTCATCGTAATTATTTTCCCCTGAAGTCTCCATGGTTTCTGGTTTGTTTCACTTTCTTCATGCTGGATGTTTGGATTTTTTTGATTCCTGCCTCGGTTTTCTGTAAACATTTCATTAAATCAACAAGGAACTCACCTCTGCCTTCCTGCATTTGGGTCCTCAAACCACAACCAAATTTTGACAATATGACTATATACTAGGAGCAAAATGTTAACTAACATTGATAAAGTGGAGGAAAAATAATTACATTAGCCATATTGTATTATGTGCAGTTACCCCCTAGAAATGTTTTTTTTCCTGAACTTTGCCCTATGGTGTTTCATAATAAGAAAACTTGGTTAAACATCTGTACTATTATGACAACAAAAGGTTTTTCTTTGTTTATGAAGATGATGTAAGACAATATTTTACCTTTAGTCTTCAATTAACTCACATCTTGCTCCTGCTAATACTATCCTCGTTTGGACCTCTTAGCTAATCTGATTAGCTAACAAAATAGTGTTATCTTTTGTTGTTATCTTTTGTGTTATCTATTTCTTTTATCTCTATGTATTTCTTTTTTAATGCTTTTTGAAATGCTTTTTTGTAGCACTTTGAGGCCTTTTTGGTGAAAAGTGCATTATAAATTAAATGAATTATTATTATTATTATCTCATTGTTTTGATATGGCTTGTTGATTACCAGATTTGTAATTTTCCTCTTTTTAGTTCATCGAGAATGGGGGGGAAAAGTAGAGTAAAAATAAAATGTTATTAAAAAGTTACCACTTTCATTCAAATACTATGAAATGATTTATAGTATTTGAGAAAGTATTACTGATATTTGACACACAAATAGAGCGTTAGATTGTTTTCCTCTCACTATGAATATTATTTGAAGTAAAACTATATTGCTGTTCAACCAAAAAATATGGAGTTGACAGAACACTACATTTCCGGAACCTGTTACCATGACACTACTCAATGTCAAGGTTTTAAAAATTGGCCATACAACCTGAGATTGGAGGATTTGCTGGTTTTATGACAACATCTCAAAGAGCTACAGCAACAGGAGGGGCTGGAAGCTGGGCTTCTTCAGGGACTGAGACTTAATTTATTTAGAAGAGCTTTGATTAGGAGCCCAAGTGAAAACTTGGAATTAGATCAGCACATTTTTGGCTTGCTATTAGCGTACTCAAGCAGCCAAAGAAACTGTGTACTGTTATAGATTATCAAGATTTTAAAGAACAAACATTTCCTCAAATTCTTCGATAATGTAAACGTATTATAAAAAGGAAAAAAAAAAAGAAAATGAAATAGTGAATAAGTCATCCATTTCCTCACATTATATCCTCTGTTCACTTGTTTGTTCTCTGTATGCTCAGTTTGTTGTTTTGACTTATATTCTCTTCTTATCTGTTATCAGTTCGACTTTATGGTTTGGATGTTTTTTGCTTGGAGACTTGCATCCACACAGACCTATGACCGGATAACCTTGGTTTTATGAGGATTCAGAGAAAGCTGCTGAGCGATTATAGACACAATCATTGGAAAAATGTGTTAATAACCCGTTCTTGCCTTTTCTCTTTCAGACTTGAATGTACATTTTTTAGCTTCAGACCATATTTTTTTTTGAGAACAGTGACTGTGAATGTTGATAAGAATAAATACCTTATCTTACACAAATGTGCATCTCTGAAAACTAGTATTAAAATTTTGTTCTTAAAAATACATTTTAAGAGTTACCTGTCTTTTTCCTTCATCTTTATTTATCTTCTTTTTGTCTCTCAGGTCTCTGTTTGTCAGGAGATGCTGACAGAGTTTCGAAATGCTGTTTCTTGTAAGAAAAGTTCCCGGGCTCGTCGGCGACGCCCTCTCAGCAGTGCTGGGGGCGGAGTTCTGCGCCATCCTTCCCGGCTAGCTCTAGCTGGGCCTAGACCAATTCGGCTAGTAAGGGAGATGCGTCTCAGTAACGGAAAACTCTACAGTGGTGCCGGCCCACTGACAGGGGGTTTGGCTGGGCTGGGGGGAGGTATGGCAGCAGGACCTGATTTGGGCCCAGGCCCACAGAGGCTCTTGGATGATCCACTGGGTGCCAACTCTGCCACCAATACACCTCCTCCGCCACCTCCTGTGTCATCATTTGAGGCTCCGCCTGCCCCACCTCGCACCTTCCTCCAGAGCTGCAGCCATGTGCGCATCTGCCAGGAGTGCCGGCGGATCCAAAGCTTGCGACCGGCCGCACTCACGCCTCCCCCACCTCCTCCACCTTCTTCATCCTCCTCTGCCTCGTCCTGCTCCCGTATCCCTCCTTTGGCAATGTCAGGACATCAACATCGTCATAATCCGCACCACCACCTCCACTACCACCATGGCTCCATGTCATTACCCCGCCTTCCTCCTCCTCCTCCCCCAATCTCAACAGACAGAGCCGATAGTGATGGGGGAACAGCAAGTCCACAGCGGGGGAAAAACAGACCGGCCCCTCCTCCCAGGCCGCTGCCGCCTCCCAAAACACCAACACTCCCACCAACAAATTATCTCGGGGGTCACGATTGTGCTTAAATATCCCAAACTTGGGCTCAAAAGATACAGACTACACATCAACAACTTTTCTTTTGATCCCAGCAACACAGCTATACCTGTCCAAACTCCTGAGGAGTTGGATAGAAGAAACTACTTTGACTCGTTTGAAGGGATTGGATCCCTCAAAAAGTAGTCAGTTCGGCTCAGCTGATACTATAAACCTTTAAACAGGGATGGTTGAGTCTAAACCCTCATTCCTGGTAGCAGGGAGAATTTAAAGAGTCGTATATGGATTTAGCAACTTTCCGTAGTTGCTGATGATGGACAAATGCAGCGTTAGCAGGCAACTTCGGATTCAGTCCTCGATCTCTTACCTCGGCTAATTATCCCATTGCAAGAAGAAAATAGAAGATATAAATGGACAGATTTTTGAGAGGATTGTCAGTCAACCAGGACATGATGTCAGAAAGATTTAAAAAAAAAAATCAAGACAAATTTCACCAGCGCTCTTATGTTTTTGTTTCTTTTTCTTTCAGTTTGAACACTGAACTAGGTGTTTGTACAAGAGGAGACCTTCCTGCAGACACGTAGCAGAGCAGTTGTACAGTAATCATGGTCTTCGGTCACTCTTTTGGATGTTTGTTGAGGATGTAGCTTATTTCCCATACCGTTTTGCTGTTTGTACAGACTCCTGCTGCCTGGTGCTGTGATCCACAACGCAGAGAAAAACAAAACCATCATTACTTGCCTAAGTGTTTAAACTGTGCTGGGGTAGTTCTTCTGTTACACATAAAAACTATCAAGCAAGAAAAAGGCACTGTGAGGCACGTGAAGGTTAAGGGCTGAGAAGCAACTATAGAAGTTTTACATATTTTTGTACAAAAAAAACAAAAAACAAAAAAACTTTTTTTTTTTTTTACGATATTTGAGATGTCATGTTACAAAATTCCAGTATGTGGTAACTAACTGCAAAGTAGTGTTTTAGTTCTTTTTTAATAAAATCCTTTTATGGTAAAAATTTAATAACTCAAGACCTTCGCAAACCAAGTCTTGGTTCTTCAGTTCAGGCAGGCACAGAGTCATCATCCATATGAATGTTATCATCTAAAACTAAATCTAAATCAAAGAAAAGGAAAACACTTATTTATACTATAAACCATAATGTGCTTTTCTTTTGCACATGCATGCCCAGTATTATCAGCCAGACTAGGAGGAACACAGATATGCAGGATTTCACCTTGAAATATTCACATGTGTTTGTCATCTGATAAGTCTTATTTCAGCCTTGTTGAAAAGACCAGGTTAAAATGAAGAACATTTAAAATAGGAAAATAAACCTCCTTGACACATAACATTTCAATTTTGCCTTATATTATAAATTTACCACAAAGTTTTGAATAATACCTGGCTGTTTGTATTTTCAAATTTCTCATATGATGGATTAGAATATTAGTTTTTAGCTAATAAGGTTGTTCCTAATATCCAATGATACTGATGTCATAACACGGATCAGCAGGTATATCTAAAATGCATCTCAAGATGTCTCTTTAACATATATTTTTATACATATTAGGATAGATGTAAATTCATCCATATAAACTTTATAATATCAAGACATTAATTTAAAATTCTTTTATGAGCATGCATGCTAAGATAGGTTAAATTATATTAATGTGAAAATTATTTCAAAATGTTACTGTGAGCAGACAAATGGGGAAATATCTCTTGATTTTATTTTGAAAAATAAATTTTCCACCTTTGAAAAAATATCATCTCCTCTTTTTTATAATTTCATGTTATCACAAACTGATTAATCAGATGGTGCTCTTTTATTTCTCAGTCTTGGCCCTAGCTTAAGGCTGTTGACTAGACTCTATTAATAAAAAAAAAACACAAGTTTCCATCCAAGGAATCTTATTTTTCTTAACCTCCTAAAGCCCATTGTTTGCAACAAACTGTTTGTATTATGCAAAAAGCCAAACAATTCTTTCTGATACAACTGGTCCACTATAACTTTTGCAAATCTGCTATATATCTAAATTTATATTCTGCTTTTCATAAATAGAAATTCAAGAATTTCAATTTGGCAACCACTCAAAGCCAAAAAAATCCACAAAAAGTAAGTCAGGCGTCAAGATAGGGGCAATTAGGTGGGCACAGTTTAAAATGTCTGGATATAATTGCATTCTAATGGGAATGCCTTGAGATTGTAGGTACATTCAAACGAAATGTTATTTTATATATTTCAGAAGTAATATTTTTTAAAGTTTTTCAAAAGGCATTAAATCAGAGTTTTGGACGATGTTATTGGTTCTTTTTTTATTATTCCACTAAAACATAAACTTGTATGCCTAAAATTAGTTTGGAAATTATTAAACACAAGTGTTGCTATTTCAGTCCTATACCGCAAGATACAGTATCGTTGTCAGAGTTGTCCCAGTTAGGATGTTGAGTGAACGGCATTTGATTCTAAGTGTGACTGTGTCCTATTTTACTCAATGGAAAAACTCAGATGCTTTAGATTCTGCTTTTTGTCTCTAGGCTAACGCTAGCCTGTTTGATCTGTGTATATGACTACGGACGTCGACAGGTGCAAACATGCAGTAAATGACAAAGTGAGCTGTAAATAACGTGTGATGCAAATTCCAAAACATACAAGCACAAGAAACGCATGCAAAACAACAGTGCTCCAGACCACTAGAGTCAGACAAAGAACATCAATACAAACAGGAATTTAAGCTTTAACAAAGGATTTTAAAAAAAGAAAGACAGTTGGAAGAAGAAAGAGGGTGTTTTATCTTTTATTTTACTGTCAAACACACAGTCTTACTGTATTACAGAATAACAGCATTACTATGTATAGTAATATAGGTAACACTCTGGGTGATATTTGTTTAACTCCCTCTAGTGGTCAGGAGCAGTTCTGTTTTTTTAGAAGGCATTTGTTGCTGTTTTTACTATTTGCATATTTTTTCACTGCGATCGCCTCATTTTGTTTTTGCTTTCAGCACATTGTTAGGGGTTGCTGCATTTTTTCTTTGCATTTGTTTTGTCAGTTGCAGGTCTTTGCTTCAATTTTAGGTATTGCAGCAACTTTTTTTTCCGTTGCATGTGTTGTTTTTTTTAGTTTGAGTTTTCTCCCATTGGCACGTCATTTCTTTTTTGTTTGCAGCATTTGTCATTTGCATTTTTTTTGTGCTTGCCTGTTTTAGAGTTTGCATCACACAGTTTTTTCCAGCTAATTTAGTCATTTACTGCACATTGGCTCCTGTCAGCCACCATATATGACAGACAGAAAAACTGCAATATAGTTCATCTTTAAAATTCCCTCTAAACAGAAAATCGAGGCAATTATGTGCTTTTTCTGAAATGTAATTTTTCAGTTCATTTACATGTTTTTCATGTATGTCTACACAGATCACTAACAGTGTGAGTGTGACTGACATCAGTACGCTGAAAGTAATCTGACACAGTTATAACTGAATCTCAGCATCTTTAACTGTTAAATTACTGAAGATTGCTAAAGATTTACATTACTGGGTAATACATGCTACTGTTAAGGTGGATTGGATTATTTTTACATTTTAAATTTCTAAAAAGTGTTACTTGGGCAAATTCTAAGTTATCCAGGTGATGGCAACCACAAAACAGGCTTAAATCAAATGCAACCAATTTTTTGCTCAGTTTTTCAAAAAAATGTCAGTGTTCATTTCTCACGCTCATCACACTTCTTGTTCAGAAAAGCTGAGCAAAAGTTGGGCTGTCTCTAATTTAAGCCTGCTCTTTGGTCTAAAGAGGGTTCTTTCTTTTGCTGCCTGAGATATAATATGTTCTTTAGCTTGCTCATTTGTATTGATAGCATAGCTATAGATGTAAGGATACACATTTCAACAATCATTATGATTCTTTTGGTTTTTACCTCCTAAAATGGCTAGATTTAATGCTCCTCAGATTGTCGCTACCATTTGCTAAAGCTTTAAAACATCAGTGTCCAATTGGTAATGGTAATTGGTAATTGGTAATATTCAACATAAATTCTGTTTTTTTTATTTGTGTTATGGATGAAAATGATGCATGTACACTAAAGATTGTGATGTTTCATCATAATGTACAAGTTGAACATGAACATGTACACATACTGTATAAGCAGATTATCAATTATTTATTTATGTTTTTTTTTATCATGGTATTGGAGAAAATTCTTGCAACCTAAAAAAAAAATAATAATAATGTTTTACCAATTATGACAATACTGCCCCTTTCCTTTAACAGAAATGCTTATAAAAGAAATGTGGTCATTGTATTAAAATTGAAGAACTACCTCAGTGCAGTTCCATCCATTTCAGGTCAGTTTCTTGAGCTCGGAATCTATTTAACTCTAAATTAGGAGTGCAAACTGAAAAAAACAAAACACTGAATTCATGATTGTAAAGGATAAAATTGTACTATCTTTTATAATCATTTTTAAATTAAATCAAACCTCCAACCAAACAAAACAAAAATTTGTGAATGTTTAATAGCACTTCCATATGTAAAGGGTTGCCAATGTGTAACTCTGATTGGAGAAAGTCAGACATTGTTTTGAAGACCAATACCTGTAAGTTTTTATTTGTATAATTATTTTGTATATTTTCTTTATCATAAATTTGGATATTGAAGCTGCAGCAAATCTGAAAAATGTCAATGAAAACCTAAATGTCACTGAATAAATCTTCAGGTGTGTGTGTGTGTGTGTGTGTGGCTTTAACTTTGTGTATGGCTAACTTTGTGAGGACCAGGGCTAGTTCACCTGTTTAAAGTGAATTAGGATGAAATCATTGTAATGATTTATGTCTTTGCAAATTCAGCCATACAAGTGTTAGCTTTTTAAATTTGACTACGTTTGGATTTAGATTTTTGTTTTTCTCCTTCACAGCAGGATGACAGAGATACATCATTTTGATTATTCTATTGTTATCACAATTATTATAAATATTGATGTGTGGAGTGATTCTAGGAGGGGTTCCTCCCTCTGATGTTCAATATATAGAAACTTATTTGGAATTAAAAAAGGTTTTGAAAAAGAAATTGTTTTGAAAATGCTTCTGATTATAAAGGCTTTCTTTCTTTGGTTCAGGATTAATTCACAGTGAGCTTCTCATTTATCAGACACTAAGGTGTCAAAGTGTTTGGTAGTATAGAGCAAGTGTCAGTGAAAGCGGCAGATATACAGTATAAGCAGATCATGTTGGTTCCTTCTTGTTCAAAATCAAAATAATTTCCATCTCACCAGAATTGCCAAATTCTCACAGCTTTAAGTCATAGAAAACGGCTTTACTGAACATTACTTCTCTGCAAAGTACAAATACTTCGATAGCCTTACATAACAACAAATTCTGGCTATTTATACTTTACTGGAGTAATTATTTTTTAGACAATTTTTTTGTTTTTTCTTTTACTCTATAGTTTTTTACAGTTTTCTCTACTTTCTACTCCTTACATTTTAAAAACAGACTCCATAGTTTTGTTTTATTTAAGCTCATTTTCGTCATAGTCATTCATAAAAAAAAAAAAATAGTTTCATGCAGAGAATTCCTTTCTTTGTGGTTGGATTCTGTGCTGCACCAACTTGTTCTTTGCCACATACCAAAATAAGTAGTTTTTCAAGATGTTGCTAAGTTAAATTTGACACTGTTTCTATTCATTATAAAACCAAAAAATTAATAGTGGAGGATTTTCGTAAATTTTTCAAAAGACCAACCCTCTTCAGTTAAAAAAGAGGTAACGCCTATTAAACGTATGCACGAGCATGCACAAGCCCGTTTCTGCTTGTGCACACTCTGTTTGAAAGTTGCTGTTTGCATCGCTCTTACAAGCTCACTTTCCATAAGAAGATTTGCAATTTTTTCACTATGTCAGACTCCCCACCAGTAAGTGAAAATAGAAACGACCACTTAGGATGGTCTTCCGTAAACACAGAATGATTGACAATTAGGAGGACCACTTATTTTGATGATCCATTCGAAAAAGAACATCCTCCACTATACCATTTCCATCCATCCATCCATCCATCCATCCATCCATCCATCCATCCATCCATCCATCCATCCATCCATCCATAAGGAAGTTATCATCCAGAATTGTAGAAAAATGGTCCTTTAATAGGCTAGTGCAGTAAAGCTGCTGTCCTTCACAGTTTTTCCTGCATTACTTTTACTTTTATACCTGAAGTAGTTTTAAAAAGTGTACTTTTAGACTTTTACTCGAGTAAAAATAATAAATTGATACTCCAACTTCTACCAAAATTTTTTTAAACAGTAGGATTTATAAAACTACTTGAATAAAAAACATGAATGCTTTTGAAACCTCTGCTTCTCTGACAGAAGAGTTTGTTTTAAA